TTTATAATATGGCAAGTGCATTGAAATTAAAAACTATAATTTTCATATTGACTTGGCAAAGAATAGATGCGTTTTTCAAGAGTGATCATTTGGTGTTCACTTGCCAAGACCTTTTAAGGTTGGCTTTGACTAAACATGATGATTGTCTTACAGCTATCTATGGCTTTACGAATACAGTTCAAAGTTGCATCGTCTTCAGCAGTAGATAGATTATATCGGCTGCAAGTCACACACAGATCACAAGTCTTTAAGCAAAACCAGTTCCAAGCAGTTAAACGTTGAATTGTTTTTATACAAGTTTTAATGAACTTGCATGAGTAATTTCATCAGATGATTCATTTGGGAAATGTAATGATGACCTCGTCGGAGATTGCAAGGATGTTTTTGGAGGAATTGATAATGAAAAAAGTGGTCGTTTTAACATTTCTACAACTTCATTCATAACTGGTCTATCCAATGGATTTATTTGAATGCACTATAAACTCACCAAACTCATTTTCCTTGCCACTTCATTTGCAAGCCAAAGAACTAGGTGGATGATTATCTGTGTTCAAGATCTTTGTAAATCCAATATGGAAAATACATTTCTTTAGCATGCAATCCTCCAATGTCATAGCTATAAACACAAGCTTGGTAACAAACGCTTCCAAGTTCTCTACTAAATATTTTTGGTGCAATGAACCCTACCATTCCTCCAGTGTTTATGATTGACACAATACTATCTTTCTTCTGACATAATTTAGCTAAGCTGAAGTTAGATATTTCTAGAAAAGATTGTTCATCGAAAATAATGTAGTGGGCTTTGATATTAAGATGCAAAGTTCTCGTGTCATGATATACCTATAATTTACGTTAACTTTTGAGCCATTTATACTTAAATATGCTCATTTAACTATGGTAAATTGTGGCAAAAATCATATATGTAACCTCAGTCATCATCTGTCAAAATGTAGGAAGGAAAAGAAAAAGGATCCAAACGTGTGGTTACAACAAAATATTTCATATCAAGGACCTCAAATAGGCCCAAAAGCTTTCAACCAAGGCAGATGAATTATCAAAGAACTCAAACACGAGTGGATGAATGGAAAATTAAGGAAACTCTTCTTTTCAAGTACATTTGCATGCAGACACACCACCTACAAAGATGTCCACGCACGGACGAAACAAACAATGGAAGTGCTCTCTCCTCATCCCTTGTCCACGAGCAAAAAAGAGTGCACTAAGCACAAACGCGCACGGATGCAATGTTTTGACACGTGGAGTGTTTGATTTTTTATGAAATAATACGAACTGCCTGATATAATTCAAAAGGGACACAAATCACTTGGTTTTAGGACTCTTTGAGGTGCAAAAAGCTATAAATAAGCCCTATTAACTTATAAGAAAGACACATTTTAATAGAGAAGCGATTCGGAAGGTTGAGTACGATGCAGGGGGGCTGATCTTTTTGATCTGGGAGTGATTTTTTATGCTCATCTCTTGTTCTTTTCTTAATAGTTTAATGGATTTGGGAATTATTAAGACTGAATTTATATTTCATTTCTGAATTCCCAATTAGAGTAGGGAGTAGCCGAATGTGTCTACTCTTTTCTTGTTTTGATTTTATTTCCTGTTGTTTTGGATTTATCATTTTATGACTTTTCCTTATTCAATTTTGACGGTAATTATTCAATTTTGTTTACTTTTCCTTATTCTTCAATTTTCAATTTATATCTAGCCAATATATTTTTTATTTGTGAGCTTACTTGATGAACTGAAAGGAAAAAAGCGAGCTTAAACTTAGAAAAGTAATTATAAATGACTACATTAGAAACAATTAAGAGTTTATGTCAACATTAATCGTAACTTAATGGTTTAATTAAAGGGTTAGAATTAAGAAACAACTAATTTAACTTTAATTGAATACATCTTAATCTACTAAAAGGTAATTAAGTCACTTTCATAATGATTGTTGCTTTAATTGAACATAAATAATTTCTGATAAGTAAAAGCAGAGTATCTCGATAAATGAATTAGATCCCTGGCGTTTCATTATTGAGTAAATCTCTAATTATTTATTTGTTGTTTTATTATTTCAATTCATAATTCAGTTTTCTAAATTGATTATTTTTTGTTGCATTCTAATGACAAAGATCATTGTTCTTTCTTGGATTCAACTTGAAATACTCCAGATTTATTACTCTGTCGATCTCGTGTACTTGTAAGACTGACCATGTTACAACCCTGACACAAGTACTCAAGTTCTTAAGCAATGCCAAAGGCCACTTGGCATAATACCTTCTACTCCAATGTACATAAAGCATTCGGTGGTTCTCTTTTATAGATGAAGTTGTCCCAAGAACCATTTGGCAATTCATAGATTAGTACTCTTTGTTCCTTTCATAACTGATTCCCAGGAGACGAAAAAACGCTTGTCTATCTTGACATGGGAGGTTTCACCATTTTCCACATCTTTTGTTTAGTGATTGAATAAATCAAGAGTCACTAGTATAAAAAAAAATTTTAATGACACACTTTTAATTATAGTTATAGAAGTAATTGTGATTATAACATACTCAATGACAATTTTAATAATTAAAGCTAGAAACTATGCGATTATAACCATAGTTAAAAGAAATAAAATGTCGTTATAATTATAAAAAAATTAATTAATAATTATTTCAAATTCAAGTTATATATATAATAAATTAATAAACTTTTTAAATAAATTAAATGACATTAATAGAATTAAAAAATAAAGAATATCATGACAGGCTATTTAATGGCCTGTCATAATATACCAAGCAAATTAAAAAAAATAATTTTTTAAAAAAATTATTGGATACTACGACAGATCATAAATAGCTTATCATGATATCATAGTTGATGATTTGATAATCATGACAGACATTAATGTTCCTATTGTAATATCTATAGCATATAATTAAAAAAATTAAAAATTAATTGGCATCACGACATGCTATTTATTGTTTGTCGTGATGCCCATTTACTTCGTTGAAAAATATATCTTTACATTATTATTGGAGGATGTGTATATAGTTGACAAGAAAAAAATAAAATTAAATGGGTGCTTATACAAGTAAGTATTTTAAATTCTTTTCCAAATTAAAATAAAGATTATAATATTAATTTGATTAATTGAATTGGTTTTAATTTTTTTAACAGTGTGCTCAACAATTAGGAAGCATCACTCAAGACATTACCCACTCATTTGAGAAGGTAATAATTTGTTAAAAATAATTTATATTTTACACTTTATCCTACACTTGAATTAATATGCATGCACATATTTTTATTGATATGCAGCATTTTAATAGTTTAAAGCTATTTTCCAAACAAGAGCTGAGATATATATAGAATATGTGGTCTACTTAATTTTTAAAATTGATAAGTTAGAGTAGATAATTAAATAAATATTTGTATTGAATATATAGAAATTTCAATGGATATGTTTGTAATTATCCTTGGAGTTGCTGTTTGTGTATAAATGTAAGCTTTTGTAAGTAAAAGATTGAAAGAATACCAAATATGCATTCTTTTAAAAAAAATTACACATATTGCAACAGTTGTATGTTGAACGTGGTAAAATATATCTTTTCACAACAGTTGCTACTAAAACTGTCGTGAAAAGTGATACTTTTCGCGACAATTTTGGTTATAACTATTGCAAAAAGCATCATAAAAGATTGATTTGCAGGCTATTTTCACAACAGATATTATTATAATTGTTGTGAAAAGTTATTAGTACAACGACAGTTAATAACTGTCGTGGATAAATTAATACTTTTTTCTATAGTTGTTATAAGACTGTTGTGAAAAGTGTCAATTTACAACTACAACTGTTTTCACTACACCGACTCTTATGTCGTGAAAGATGGTTTTTAATTGTTGTGAAATATGCTTTTTGCACTAGTAAGTAGCAGAAAAATTGAAGGTGATATTAAAATATACTGAAACTAAAACCAAAAAAAAAAAAAAATCAAAGGAAAGGAAGAGGGGCGCGAAAAATAACCCTTGGCTATTTAAGATATAAACACAAAGTCATGTACTGCTATTCAGGTATGTCTACAACATGATGCCAAAAACTTTACCCTTGTGTCACATTTGGGAGTTTAATTATTAAAGGTATGTTTAAAATAATAACGTAAAGTACTCACCAAATAATTTTTCACAAGTTTTATTCAGGTAAGTTGAGTATCTAACTTTTTTGTAACTTACCATTAAACCAAAAAAAACAAGGGGAAAAAATTTTGGTAGGGTACAGCTTCTCTCGTAAGACTGGGAGCGCCTGAAAACTCCATAAAAGGTAATGATTTAGAATTTCATTTTAATCTACAATCTAAAAATGAAGGCCTTTGAAAAATTCCTGGAAATTGGCTAATTCAGATGGGTAACATCAGTTTGATTTAGAGACACACTTACCTTATTCTCTAACAAGGAGGTTAATAAATAAAAAGAAAACCTTGCCAGCAGTGTTCTACTAAATTGTAAAGAACTAATTCATTAATAGATTTGTATTGGCAAAAAAAAAAAAAAAATTCATTAATAGATTTGTCAGATTTTGAAAAGTCAAATACAAGAAAAGGAAAATAGCTACTAAGGAGTGGTCTAAAGAGAGAACCATTGATGGATTGTGAACAATATTCTATTTAACTGTCAATGATATAAAATTAGTTAAGAATGTGATACAACCAATTACAAATTAAATTACTCGCAAAATCTTCATCCAAAAAAAAAAATAATAATAATTACTCACACAATTTGTTCGGTGAACATCGCATGAAAATGTAACAGGAGTTAGAATATACAAAAAAGAAGAGAAGCTAGAAATTTCAATGCATGCTAAATAGGAAAGCAGACATACTAAGCATGAATGAGATCAAGGGACAGAAACTTGCAAAATACAACTTGAATAATTAATTAATTGACTTCTCTAAGCTCTAATTAATATCAACTAGTTGACTGCAAAGGATCAAAAGGGAACAATAAAACTGATAGAAACCATTTAGGTATTGCTTCTCATATAAACAGGCAAGGAAGCAACAATTGGAAATTTTCCATGGATTAGAGATACATGCAGTTAAATTGATCTTAGCAGCAGGCTGATTATATCAGCTAAGAGCTTATACTTATAACTCTTTGTACAAGTCGCACAGAAGTCACCTGTCTTTTAAGCATAACAAGGTCAACCAATTTAGAAAATGAATTGGCCTCCCCAGCACAACATCAAGTAGATTTATGTAAGTTAAGTGCTTATTGAATTTGTCTGAATGATTTCATCGGATGAACCCTTTGATGAGAATCGTAATGGTGATCTTGTAGGGGATTGCAAGGATGGCTTAGGAGGAATGGATAATGATTCAAGGGGTCCTTCTAACATTTCTACCACTTTACTCATAACTGGTCTGTCTGAAGGATTTAATTGAATGCACCATAAACTCACCAATGTCATTTTCCTTACCAACTCATTCTCTTCGTCTGTGATTGCCAAAGAACTAGCTGGGTGCTTACCTTTTTCAAGACCCCTATAAATCCAATCTGGAAAATACATTTCTTCAGTATGTGATCCTCCGCTGTCATAATTCTTCCTTCCTCCAACCATTTCAATGACCAACATGCCATAGCTATAAACATCAGCTTTGTGAGAAACTCCACCAAATGCTCTATTGAATACTTCCGGTGCAATAAATCCTATTGTACCTCTTGGGCCCAAGATTGACACAATACTCTCCTTCTTTTGGCATAATTTAGCTAACCCAAAATCAGATATTTTTGGGCAAAACTCTTCATCTAGAAGAATGTTTTGGGGTTTGATATCAAGGTGTAAAATTCTTGTGTTACAGCCCCTATGCAAGTACTCAAGCCCTTGAGCAATGCCAATAGTAATTTGGAACAATACTTTCCACTCTAAAGAACAAAAAGCATTCAGAGATCCTCTGTTATAGATGAAGCTATCCAACGAACCATTTGACATGTACTCATAGATTAGTACTCTTTTCCTCCTTTCATAACAAAATCCAAGAAGAGTGACTATGTTGACATGAGAAGTTTTGCTAATACTTGCAACTTCATTCATGAATTCTTCTCCACTTCCTTTAGATTCCTTTATTACTTTCACTGCGACAGGACGACCATTAGGTAGGCTTGCTTTATATACAACACCATATCCTCCCTCACCTAATTTGTCTGAAAATGACTTTGTCATTCTTTTCACTTCTGAATAACTATATTGCCTTAGTGCCAAAGGGCCATAGTTTCTCACTCCCATCTCTTTCAAGATTTTATGTTTTTCAACTGTCAAGTACTTCTTGTAAATGTAAATAATCACACCAGAGATTAGAGCAGTTCCACCAATTCCAACTGATATTCCTGCATTTATTGAAACTAATGATCTAAAATCTTTGTAAAAATGCAGAAGTACATTGAAAATGCAACCAAATTTCTTACCTATTGTAGCCTTGACTCGCAAATCCTGCTTCTTAGTTGATTCTGAAATTAGGACATTTTTCAATGAAAAAAGAAAACAAAAGAAAAGAAATTAGGACATTATTTAAGAAGATCACTAATACCCGATATTAAATTTACTCTGAAAAATCTAAGCTTCAAGATGTTGAACTTAATACTGCTAATTGAAGAAGTAAGATGAAAATCTCAATGAGTGCATGGCAAGCTTCGAAATAACACCAACACAACACAAAACTATTTCATTCTCACATTTGCATCTACGTAATTGCCCTATTTATAATGTTGACGATTATATTTCTAGTTCCAAAATGCCCTTTTCTATTTCCCTGACTATTTCTGTTTTCTTTTTTGAAATTATTACTCTTAATTTCCGGGTAATCATACCATAATTTTCTAATAGAGCGTTTCCTATGAATGTGGGAATGGGAAGGAATGGGAGAAGTTTTGACTTTCCCTTTATTTAGTTTGGTTAGTGGACAGGAGGTAAATAATCATAAATTATTATTATGATATTATGCCCCCTATATGATTTAAATTTTTTATTTTTATAAAATTGAAAAGAAAATAGTCACATTGTAATTTATCATTTTCTTGTTCTAGAACTGTTAAAATTCTCATCTTATTATTTATTGACTACACAAATGTCATATATTATGCATCATACTTTTTATTAATATACTAGTCAAAATTTATTTCATTAAGATAAAGGACGAAAATAAATAATAAAAATTACTAACAAACATAGATACCAGAGAAAGGGATTATAATTATGTTTAAGTAGGAGACATCAAGTACATATTTGTATAGATAAAAAACATTCGATAATACTTAAATCTAACCAAGATATTATATATTTGTTTAAAAGAAGAAGAAGAAATAATTAAAACTCCCCAGCAAAACCTCTCGATTTTAGAGAGGATTGATGAGGAAATGTCCATTAAAATCCCCCTACCAATCTCAGTTTCCCTAAGCCAAACCAAATGATCCCTTCTCCTCCAGCCTCCTCTGCTCGGCAATTCCCAAATAAACATTGGATTTGGACTAAATAATTATACATAGTAGAGGCACTAAATACTTGTATAATCTAAATTGTTAAAATTTAGATCAATGGCTTTAAATTTATACTTCACTTGAGATTGATGAATGTGAGAGTTTATCTGAATCGTTGATTTATATTTCAACAATTTAAATAATACAAGCATTGGGTGTCATTGAATCCAAATCCAACAAACACTACCTACTACTCATAACTTTCCATATGTCCATGCATATTTATTACACTTTCTAGTCCTAAATGCAAGAGCTAATTAATTAAATTGATAAGTTTGTGAATTATTTGTAAATAATATATGTTGAATTTTTTTTAAAAAAATACTTCTTTTAATCATTTACATTAGTCTCTTATATTCATCATCCATATTATAAGACATCTCTAATCATATAATTGAAATTAAAGAGAGATGATTAAGTTATTAACTTTGTTTAAAAAATAATAAATTTATAGTTTTACTCATATTTAAATAAAAAAAGTTAAATTTGTATTATATTCTCTCTCATTATTAATGAGTTTGAATAGCAAAAATATAAGTAATATCCTCATCTAGTACTTTTATCGGAAAAGTTGTAGATAAAATTAAAAAATATGAAAAACAAAAGAAATTAAGATCTTATGTATACTACCAAAATAAACTTTGCAATTTAGAAGCGAAGTAGTAAAATAAAATAAAAAAAGAGTGAATCATGCATAAGAATATGCAACATACCAAAAACATTTGGCCCCTCCAAGCAGGAAGCAATTTGAGGTCCCTGCTTGCAGAAACAGAGGAATTGTTTATCATAGCCGCACTGTCCACCAGATTTAGAGCAAGTCTCGCACTTCTCCTTATTATTCACCATCCATTGCAACCCAAAACCCTCATGCAACGCAGCACGTATTGATTCATTCATAACAGCTCCAATTTGTGTTGCTTGTATCGGCATGATTACACTGTTGCAACCACCCACATACACGTCCAACACAACGTAGTGCACTTTTATGAACGCGCTCGCATCTGATCTATAGCAGTCTTGAACAGAAACATTTGACGGAAGTGTAGTATTAAAGCAATCATACAGAAAGGTCACGTTAGAAAGTTCACCTACGTATTTGAATGATGTTGGATCAAAGGTGTTGTTTTTGTAACGGCTTGGACAGATAGTGTCATAGTAATCGTCCCTAGCAACCCTAAGAGTCTGTGAAGTTGAGTTCAGATCAAGGATTCGATATGTGAGGGACTGTGTGATTATCTTTGGGATATTGGCTTCGCATTTGAGTTGAAAATCAGGAAGTCCACAGTACTCGGCTCTGTTTTCTCCCCAGAAGGGATATGCGAGCTTGGAAATGAATCCACAGCTAAAGGAGTTATTTGTGCAGTTTGTGAAGCGAACATCATTATCAGCACCCCGAGATGTGGGAAGATTGATAGAGATGAAGAGAGAGATCAAAAGAAAGAACATGAGGGATGCGTTAAAGGGAGGTTCCGATTCCATTGTACAGCAGCCAAGGAAGATCATGTTCGTGTAATATGGGCCTTTGAAACTGTCAAACAACGAAATTTCTGAGGGCAGATTCTATCAGGCCAAGAAAAGCTAGTATAGTTAGTCACGATAACTCTGATTTCAGTATTCTGATGACTAGTCAAACTGGTATGATTTTATAGCAATTTTAATTGTCAAACTCAAATGAAAAAAGCAGTATAAAAGGGGGCCTACAAGTAGAAAAAATAGATAAGATAGAATGCCCCGTAAACAACGCACTGAATTATGACTCTGGTGCCAACATCACTTCACCGACTACAAATTCAAGAGTCTTGACTCTGTCTAGTGATTGTCCAACGGAGTAGAAGTATTCATTGATAGCTTTGTCACATTTTGAATAGAGTCATAATACATGGAAAAGTAACATTGCCTGTAAAGATGGCCTTCAGATAAAACCATTGATCGATTGTTCCCTGCTATGAGATTCTCAAACTTTTGGCCTTTTTGGCCGTGCCTTTCAGTCAGTGGATTTTACGTAATCTGAATTCTCGCGGGAAAGGCACAAACTGGATTTTGTTTTTTGGGCTTCTATGTTAGTAGCTTTGGGAAACTACGAATAGGTGAATTTTTGTGGGGAAGCTTTTTGATTCAAATTGAGCTTTTCCATTATGTTCATATTTTAGTTACTTGCACTACTAAAACTACAAGGACCTGATTTGCACACTCGTGGTCCTTGATTTTAGTGTCTTTTTTTTTTTTTTCTGTATTTGATACTTTTATTATTGGCCTTTTGGCTCTTCAGGCAGCGCTAGTCCCTTGTTATAAATGCTGGTTCTTTTGAATGAAATTCACTTCACATTCAAAAAAAAAAAAAGATTGATGGATTGTGATTAGTATTCTATTTAACTATTAAAAATATGGAATTAGTTAAGAATCCGATGCAATCATGCAACCAACTATGAATTAAATTACTCGCAAAATCTTCACCCACAAAAATAATTATTCACACAATATGTTCAGTGAATATCGCAAGAAAATGCAACAGAAGTTAGAATGTACAAGAGAACAGGAGCTAGATTTCAATGCATACTAAATAGGAAAGCAGACATATTAAGTACGAATGAGATCAAGGGGACATTAATTTATAAAAATACAACTTGATAATTACTTCCTCTAGTTTTATTTATAAGTTTTCTAGCATATTTCATCAAAATTAAAGAAAACCTTAAACCTCATTAATTTTGTCTTAAAATTTAATAAGTTTATACTTTTATCCCTAATAAATATTCTTAAATTTTATTGTTGATATTTTTATTTAAAGCATTTAATAAAGATAAAAATATAAAGAGGAGTATTAAAAATTGACAAATGCCCTATAAATATAATTAAATTTTTTCTTTTTTCTCTGCTCTACAAATAGGACCAGAGGAGTAATTGACTTCTCAAAGCTCTTATAACTTAATTATATCAACTAAGTGCTTATACTTTGTAACTCTTTGTAGAAGTCGCATAGAAGTCACAACATATCTGTTAAGCATGACAAAATTTACCAATTTAGAAGTTGAATCGGCGCTAGCACAGCATTAAGTAGATTTATACAAGTCAAGTGGTTATTGAATTTGTCCGAATGATTTCATCGAATGAACCATTTGAGGATTGTAATGGTGATCTTGTAGGGGGTTGCAAGAATGGCTCTTGAGGAATGGATAATGATCCAAGGAGTCCTAGTAAAATTTCTACCACTTTATTTATAGCTGGTTTATCTGAAGGATTTATTTGAGTGCACCATATACTCACCAAAGTTATCTTCTTTACCAACTCTTTCTCTTCCTCTATGATTGCCAAAGAACTAGCTGGACGATTCTTGTTCAATATCCATATAAATCCAATCTAGAAAATACATTTCTTCAGTTTATGATGATCCACTATCATAATTCTTCCTTTCTCTGATCATTTCAATGACCAACATGTCATAGCTATAAACATCTGCTTTGTGAGATACTCCATCAAATGCTCTACTGAACACCTCTGGTGCAATAAACCCTATTGTTCTTCTCTGCCAAGCATTGACACTACACTCTCCTTCTTGTCACATAATTTAGCCAACCCAAAATTGGATTTTTTTGGCAAAAGTCTTCATCCAAAAGAATGTTTTGGGGTTTGATGTCAAGATGCAAAATTCTGGTATTACAACCTTGATCCAAGTACTCAAGCCCTCTAGTAATGCCAACAGTAACTTGCAACAATATTTTTCACTCCAATGTGCAAAATGCATTTGGAGATCCTCTTTTATAAATAAAGTGATACAATGAACCATTTGACATGTACTCATAGATTAGTACTCTTTTGTTCCTTTCATAACAAAATCTTAAGAGTGACTATGTTGACATGGGAAGTTATGCTAATGCTTGCAACTTCATTTATTAATTCTTCTCCACTTCCTTTTGATTATGTTATTACTTTAACTGCTACAAGACGACCATCAAGAAAGCTTGTTTTGTATACAACACCATATCCTCCTTGTCCTAATTTGTCTGAAAATGACTTCATCATTGTTTTCACTTCTAAATAACTATATTATCTTGGTGCAAAACAACCACAATTATTCATGAAGAACTGAATTTTATTGTCAAATTACGCTCCTCCTTCTTTGAAGATTTTCCTTTTTACAATTCCTAAGCGCTTCTTGGAACTATAAATTAGAAAAATACATATTAAAGTTACTCCAACTACTCCTGCTAGAATGCCCGCATTGTGGAACATAAATTGAAGTCTGTAAAATTTGCCGGGATACATAAAAAGTAAGCATGTATCAATATTTCTTTTATTATAAACTGTTAACAAGGCAGGAGAAATTTTTTTTATCATGTCAAATAAATTTAGTTGTTTCATTTGTGGAAATATTTTGCAATTTAACCAATGTAATTCATAGCCAGTCCCAAGCCCAAATTAAAGATGAGAGTTGTATTAGGTCATCAACTTTTAACATAAAATTTTGTTGAATCTCATGGACAATATGTGAAAATATTTTATAGAAATGTTCACGCTTTAAATTAGAAGCTTCAAGATATTGAACAATTCACTAAATTTCGAACTTTTTATTGGGGACAATTAAACTCACACACCTTACCATAAATTTCGAACTTTTTATTGGGGACAATTAAACTCACACACCTTACCATAAATTTCTAACTTTTTATTGGGGACAACTAAACTCACACACCTTACCATAAATTTCTAACTTTTTATTGGGGACAACTAGCCCACCACAGGTTTAGAATCTATCATCTTCCTCTTAGAAAGTAATTTTTAAAGTGATAAATTTATTTTTCTTTTTTGAGAAATGACAACTACAAAAATATCTCCATAAATTTTATATTTTGTATCTATTAAAATAAATTATTATTTAAATTATACAAATAAAAATAAATTAAATATGAACATAATTGCGGATGAGCATTCCATGCTCATTGGAACGTGTGCTCCCCACAAGATACACATCCATCATAAGTTTCATCATAACATACACAGGTTTGGTTTTAATGTTCATTACAATTATAAGCACCATTATGCTCATTGCTTTAGTAAAATCTTGAACATTCATATCTAGTTTGAATGATCTAGATTTAAACTCTTTAACTTACCAATTTTAAGTAAAAGTTCATTTTTTAATGGAGTGACAATTGAGAGATTGTTTTTATTTTTTATTCTACATATATTAAAAAATTATTAAAATATAAAATAATAGTTAATATTAAATCTGAATTGTCTAAATTTAATCTAAAAAAGTCAAGATTAGTGCTCGTGATAAAAGTGAGGAACCGGAACCATATCCTAACATATAGAGTTGGGAAATGGGCGGGCTCGATCTTTAAGGGCCCGGCCCATAATGGCTTGCCCTTAAGCTTGGTGTCTCATTTTTCATCCATTTTTTTTTTGAGGCACATCTTTTATTTGAAGGGCTCAGGGCTAAGCACGTAAGCCCTGTTCTGAAAAATTTAAAAAATTAAAATAAAATTAAACATTATAAATTAATTAAAATATTTTAAAATTAAAAAAATTAAAATCTTCATAATCTTTTAAAAATTAAACAACATACATTTAAAAGTTTAGTAAGAAAATTCAAATCTTGGTTAAAAAAATTTTATTTTTTATAAATATACAAACATAATAATTACAGAAAAATAAAAAATATCACAAATTTTATATTGTACATTGATATTTATTAAATTATATTCAATCAATTTTAGAATAAATTAAAATTAATAATAATGTAACGTGTGTAGGATCAAGGTTTCAAGTGAGCAGGTCTTTCTTAGCTTCAAATGCATGTTTTAAAAAAGAGAAAAAATTAATAATAATATAGCAAGGTTTGAAGGGCAGCCCGAGCCTGAGCCCTTTTTTACAGGGCTTATTAGGGTCAGGCCCTCAAGCTCGATTATTTAAAAAAAAATTAATTTTTAAAGCTCAAACTTTTATTTAAACAAGGTCTCCAAACCCGGCCTTTCAGGTTCAACTCTTATTCTCGACTCTATTAACATACACACTTGCATATGATAAACTTTTAAAAATTTGTGAATCCCTGTTGTTAAACCAGAGCTGAAGCAAGTTGTTCCTGATCATCAGACCTATATTAATGCTTGTGAACCTTATATTAATGCTTTTTAGTCATGAATCAAGAGAGAGTGATAACATACCCATTGAAGAGCTTTGCCAAAATGGAGTAGTTTGACGTCCATTTTTGCAGAAACAGAAGAATCTTCCCTCATAGCTCCACTCTCCACCAGATCCAGTACACGCCTCGCACTGCTTATTGTTCATTGTCCATCTCAACCTTAAACCTTCCTCAACGTTTCCATTATCTCTCCCCTCACAACCACTTGAACTTGCTCTACTTGAATCGCCATGATCACGCTCCCCCTGCAATTTTCTACACGCACTTTTCCCAGAACGTAGTGGACAGTATATGTACTTGTCACTTTAAATTATTTTAATTTCTCATCTTTTCAATTGTTCCTTCTTTTTTGTTGGATGCATATGTCATTATTATTACACTCTTCTGCCCAAGATGATCATGAAGTTTCTCATTTTTAACCCAATATTTAATGATTGTCCATAAAAGGAACAAGATATTTCAATTTTTTTTATTTTTTATTCCTTATGTATATATGTTTAGAATTAGATTATGGACACGGATACTTAAGTTTAATTAGATTTTACTTTTTAATGCATTAAAAACATTAGATATTTTGGGTTACACACTTGCATGTGTAAAATTAGTAATTAAGGGTCAATAGCAAGCATTAATTTTGAAGTATTTGTAGCCCTTCCATTCGTGGATTGTATACCTCATATTTATGCCACAATTCTTATCACCCACACTAATTGATCATAAAGGTACTTAAATTGTTTAGATTTTTTTTTTAACGTATCTAAATTCTACAAATAGTACTCCTACATGTAACTCTTTAGTTACTCTAACTAGATATACACGAGAATAATAATGATGTAGTAGCTTTAGAAAGAAAGATTTATTTATATTTCAGTGCATGCTAATACTAATTAGCATGTTCCTCTAATTGAGCTTATGGCGGGTAGAGAAGGTCTGATTGATAAAAATGAAAGAGTGTCGGACTACGTTGACTGTAGGGGTAATTGGAATGTGCAGAAACTCCTTCTTAGGCTCCAACCTCATATAGTCTCTTACTTGACTCGTGCCCCTCCACCCTATGAGGAGAGAGGAGAGGATATACACATATGGAAACCATCCACTGACGATTGTTTTTATGTTAAATCTGCATATTCTTTTCTTTCTGCAGGTAAATGGAGGGATATGGATAGCATATGGAAGAAAATATGGAGACGACTGGTGGTAGGAAAGATAAAATCATTTATGTGGCTGTTTGTACATGGGCGGATTCACACATTTGACCTGAGGTGTTGAAGAGGACTTCTAATAGAGACTAATTACCCCTTTAATTGTGATGAAATCGAAGACACGATGCATCTTATTCGTGACTGTCCAAATGCCTTAGAGAGGCAAAAAATCTTTGTACAAGACAATATTAGCAGAAATTTTCTACTTTAACAAGAGCTGAGTGGGTTATGTGGGACCTTAGCCATACAATTGGCAAGGGTTTTGCTAGGAAGGTTGACTAGGCTGTTTTGTTTGGATACATTTGCTGGGACATTTGGGTGGATGGGTGCAGAAAAGTTTTTGATGCAGGACAACCTTACTCTTCCAACACGGCAATGTATAGCTACTTTTGAGACTGTTCAAATACGAATTTTATGAACACTGCTCCATTCCTATCCCGCGAGAGTAAGCGAACTCTATCTCAAGTGGTTAGGAGAGTGGGAGCAATGAGGGTTGAGGTGGATGGATCAATTTTTTCAAATGGTAGTAGTGGCTGTGGAGAGGCTTTATGGGATGCAAATAATTTATGATTAAGTGGATTCAGTAGTAAATTGATTAATGTTGCTTCCTTTGATTGCGGAACTCCTTGTTATTAACATGAGGCGCTAGTGGTGCTGGGACAAAGGTTTGTGCATGTTGTATATACATTGTGATTGTTTGGAAGCTATTTGGCTGATTTCCAAGGGATGTAACAAGTTGCATCCCTTTAAGGATCATTGATGTTAGGCTTTTATATAATAGGAATTGGAGCTTATCTATTAATCTCATACAGAGAGAATCCAATTTATATGAAGACTTTCCCATAGGTTAGAAGTCAATTTTTGTGTCTTTAATCATCCATCACTTCTAACCCAAGAAGTGGTAAATGATGAAAGCAACCATTCATGTAGCACTTATCGATTATAATCTCCTTTTGATTTGTATCCTCCTTTTTAATGAAAAAAAATAGAAATTTATAAAATACAACTCGAATGATTAATCGATATCATAAAGGAATTTATATTAGGAGAATATAATAAAATTTTAAAGAAAGAATTAATGACAATTAAGTTTCTAAAAAAATTTTAAAAAATAAATTATAAATATTAATTTAAACAGCTTGTAAATAAGAATTCAAATTGCGAACTGATTGTTGTGTTTAAAATTTAAATATTTTATTTACAATAAAAACTCTTAAATTGTTAACTATTTAAATGAATGAAATTTTTTTTTAGAAAATTTGGTCAAAGGCCTAATTAATAATTATGATTAATTCCCTCTTTTAAAATGTAACTGACATTCTCTCTATATATTAACAAGTTAGCTGCAAAGGTCTGATGCAAATCATTTAAATAATACTTCTCACATTAATGAACAAACAAGAAAGGAATAAATACTTGGCAACAATCATCAATATGAATTTATCAATACAATGCAAAGTTGACTAGTCCTCAACAATATGTAGATTATATTCAGTCATGTGCTTATTGAATTTGTTTGAGTCATTTCTTTAGAAGATGCATTTGAGAATTGCACCTGAGATTTTGTAGGAGATTCAAGGGATGGCTTTGGAGGAATCGATAATGATTGAGGGGATCCTTCTAACATTTCTACCACTTTATTCATGGCTGGTCTATCCAATGGATTTGTTTGAATGCACCATAGACTGACTAAGGTCATCTTCCTTACCACCTCTTCATCTTCCATTGTGATCATTAGAGAACTAGCTGGATGATGACCACATTCGAGATCCTTATAAATCCAATCTGGAAAATACATTTCTTCAGTATGTGATCTTCCACTATCATAATTTTTCCTTCCTCCAACCATTTCAAGGACCAACATGCCATAACTATAGACATCAGCTTTGTGAGAGACACCACCAAATGCTCTATTGAATATTTCTGGTGCAATGAACCCTATTGTTCCTCTTGTACCAAGTATTGACACAATACTCTCTTTCTTTTGACATACTTTAGCTAATCCAAAATCAGATATTTTAGGACAAAATTCTTCATCCAAGAGAATGTTTTGAGGTTTGATGTCAAGGTGCAAAATTCTCGTGCTACAGCCCCGATGCAAGTACTCAAGCCCACGAGCAATGCCAATGGCAACTTGGTACAATACCTTCCATTCCAAAGTACAAATAGCATTTGGAGATCCCCTTTTATAGATGAAATTATCCAATGAACCATTTGACATATATTCATAGATTAGTACTCTTTTGTCCCTTTCATAACAAAATCCGACGAGAGTGACTATGTTGACATGAGAGGTTCTGCTAATGCTTGCAACTTCATTTATGAATTCCTCTCCACTTCCTTTAGATTCCCTTATCACTTTAACTGCCACAAGACGACCATCAGGTAGGCTTGCTTTGTAGACAACACCATATCCTCCCTCGCCCAATTTGTTTGAAAATGATTTTGTCATTCTCTTCACTTTTGAATAACTATATTTCCTTGGTACCAAAGAGCCATAGTTACTCATGAAGGATTGAAGATTGTTATCACGATATGCTCTTCTCTCTTTGAAGATTTTCCCGTTTCCTGTTCTGAAACGCTTCTTCCAAATATAAATAATCAAAATCGAGATCAAAGCAAGTCCACCAACTCCTGCTGAAATGGCTGCATTTATCGAACATTTACTCAAAATCTTTGTAAGATTTTGAAGGAAAATAAAATAAAAGCATTACTGATGATCTATTTTTATTTATCACCTATAGCAGGTAGCGGACCCAGCTTCATAGTTGACCCTGCAATTAGAACATTAATTTGGAAATGATTATTATTATTCACTTTATCATCAAATAAGCAAAATAAATTTCGGAATATATCACAATAAATTTATATATGCTTATGGCATACGAGACTTTTCTTTCTATATTTATTTGTGGAAGTATTTTATAAAGACGTACACTTTTCAGAGATTAAGCCTTCACACTAAAATATAAGCTTTATGATTTTGAGCAATATTTATTGATCAATTTCTGATTAACAATCAAGATGAGAATCTCAATGTGCATTTATTTTAGTGAGCAGAGAGAGTCGATGATTGCAATTTGAGAATCATCTCAGATTTTGACGGATATTACAAGGAGAGAGCACGCCAAATAGAAGGCTTTGGAATCAGAAATGGAAGAAAAAGATTGTGGAGAGGGAGTGAGTGCATCATCAATGGGTTTAAAATAGAGCACTGAAATTGACTCCAATACCCTTAAGTATGGTTCAAGATTCACATTTAAATTTGTAGATATAGAAAGCAGGTTGAGAGAGTTATACCCTATTTGAGTTTGATGATGTTGACTTGCAAATTATAGCTGATTGTATTTAATATCATACAGTTATAACTTGGGGGCGTTAGTGTGCTTGCATCCGGAGTAGACCAACCAACTCTCAAATTAAAATTTAAACCTGGTGACGCATTTAAGGGTTTTAACTAATGTCAAGAAAACTGGATTGATAAATAACCAATTGAGATTCTAGCTTATGATTCAATAGTCAGATTGCGGTTTTTTAAAAAGAAAAGATATAATTATAATTGTATATAATAATGACAGTGTATTTTAAAATTTCAACCAAAATAATATAAAATAAAAAAATAGTATCAATCAATATTCCACCATTTTAATCCAAAATATATATACTTATTGTGTGTGTATATATATACATATTTTTTTGCATATATTTTCTTTTTTTCATTATCAATGTTTATTAGTATAAATATATATAAATTATAGTTTATAAATATGAATTAAATTTAAAAGAAAAGTAAAAAAAAAAAAGACCAGTCCCGGTTTACTAATTGATTTTACCAGTTTTGAGCAGTTCAAGATTGGGTTAACTAGTTCTTAATTGGTTCATTGGTGAGCAATTTTCTAGTAAAACTAAACTGAATTTAGGATCAATTTCCAGTATAATTGGTTGGACCACACAGTTTTAACTTTCATGATAAGGTCTAACCTAGTCATGTTCAGAGCTAGAGGCGCCAAATGGAAAAATTTCACTATTCGTGACTTTCAGCGACCATTAGCTTGTGGATAAGTGGGGAGGAAAAGGTAGACTTTGTACTGAAAAGTGTGGAAAATATGTGGGAAAATGATAAATACATTTTATTGAAATAGACAAATGATTATACAATAGTATCACAAAATAAGATAATTATTTTGAAGTACTTATGGACTTGTATATTTTCTTTTGTGAAGTTATGTTTTTGACTCTTATCAAGATAATAAAAAATGTACTTGTTAAAATTTAAACTAAAATTATTAATAATAAAGATAAAATTTTTAATATAAAAAATATAGTTGAAAAATCTTATACGGTGTTTGGTAAGTGAAAAAATATATTTCTAAAAAAAAAGAAAAAATATAACTATCTCATTTTCTAAGTACATTTCTCACACCTTTTCTTAAAAATATTTTTTGGTGTATCAAATATGCACTTAAAGGAGGTTTGACTTTGACCCTAGAATAGCCAAACATTTATTTATGAGAAAATAATAAAAAAAATCTCTCTAAAATATAAAAATGATAATTTGATCTCTCAAAATGTCATAATTTTTTTGAAATTTTTAAGAACTTTTCTGTCATTAATAAATTTATATAAATTATCAAATTGCTCTTATTGGAAATAAATGACTCGTAACTTTCCTTCTTATATTCACAATTTTTTATCTTATATTTGTAACAATATAATAACAATAAGTAATTTAATATGCGAAGTAGTAATTTATTATTGCATTATTGCAAATATAAGAAAGAAAGTTATGAATATAAGAAGAAAAATTGTGAATCGTTTATTTTCAATAAGGATAATTTGATAATCTATATAAATCATTAATGACAAAAAAGTCTTTAAAAACTTCAAGGAAATTATAACATTTCCTGAAATTAAATTGTTATTTATATAGTTTAAAAAAATTTTATTATTATTTTTCCTTTATTTATTTATAATAAGAAACAATTATTATTTATTAAATAATACTCAACCACTCATCCAAATATTCTTTTTTAATAGGAATGGAAAATGGCACACCCTTCAAAAGTTGCCACTCTAGGCTCTCGAACGCGCGTCGTTCTTGGTACAAGAGGAGTGCGCACGCCACTGGGCCACTAAGGCCAAAGGCACGAGATATTTATTAAATGGGAAATTGCCAGGAAGCTGAAATATTCTATATATATATATATATATCCCCTAAAAGTCAGAGGTCATCAAAATTTTCGTTCTCTTGCAAAGCAATTGCAGACTGACCTTATTTGGCTGCTTTAGTGTTAAGCCAAGGAAAGAAGAATCAACAACCATTAATGAACAGGGTTAATATACTTGATAACAGTAAACGCCATGACAAGCCAGAAATCTGCACTGAAAGATCTGCTGCACCATTCATGCATTTTCTTTAAAACACAGGATTCTGATAAAGTAATAAGATACCTGACGGCAGTCCTTCTGAACATGTAGTTTTATGGGGTCCATCTTTGCAGAAGCAGGAGAATTGTTGTCCCTCATAGCCGCACTCTCCACCAGATTGAGAGCATGTGTTGCACACTTCATTATTTACCATCCATTGCAACCCAAAACCCTTTTCTACGACACCCTGCATTAGATCGGGTGTAGCTGATGAAGCAGCTTGATTAAGGTATTCTTCATATACCGGCACAACAACACTCTTGCACCCACTTACATACACTGGTCCGGGAACATAGTAGACTGTTGTCGATGTATCATTATCTCTCTGGCAGTTTCTAACAGTATGTGATTCAGATATAGGAGGACAATCATAGAGAAAGGTCATATTAATTAGACCATCTACATACTTGAACGTCGTTGGATCAATCGTATTGTTCATGTAATCACGTGGACAGATAGTGTCAGAATAATCATCCCTAGCCACTACAAGAACATTTGAAGTCGAGACCCATTGAAGAAGCCGATATTCGAGGCGCCCTATGGTTATCTTTGCGATATTGCCCTCGCATTTGAGCTGGAAATCAGGAAACCCACAATAATCTGCTCTCTCTCCTCCCCAAAAGGGATATGTGAGGTTTTGGAGGTCTCCACAGCTAAAAGAGCTAGTTGAGCAGTTGGTATACTGGCCATCATCGGCGGCAAGAGATGTTGGAAGAATACTGAAAGAGATCAGCAAAGGTACCAAAAGAAAGAACATGGAGGATGATGGGTTTAAGAGAGGTTTCTTGTGGTATCCTAAAATCTGCAGAGTGAAAAGAAGATGAGATGAAATTGATGATGAAACTGAAAAGTGAAGATGATGATTATATGAGCTCATGAGCATTTCGTCTTTGATCTACTTAGCAGATTCAAGAGTGCAGAAAATGAAGGCTTTTGAAAAAGTCCAGAGTCTGAAGTTTCCTGGAAATTTTAGTCATCAAATGGCCAACCCTGATTGATGACAGGAGCATATTCAAATTAGCACATGTATTGATTGCATCACGCACACAATAATTTTGAATTTTTCGACTTGAAGGTAAAGGAAAATAAATGGTTAAATGGAAGCCTCACTTGTTTATGTCCTAGTTGACTTTTTAAAAGAAATTATTGAAAGGGCAAATGGAACCTTGTTTATCCATCATGTTAAAAATGACATTGAAACTTGACTGAAATGGTTTAACAAAAGACTCCCTTCTAGTTCACAATATACGACATTAACAGCTACTTTAGAGTTCTCAAGAAAAAGTAATTAAAAACTTAATATTTTGAAAAATTAAATATTTTTCAATTATATTCTCATGAAATATTCTATATAAATACTTTAATAATAATTAAAATTATAATAAATTACTTTTTGAAAAAGAATAATAAATAAAATAGGTGTATATTTGAAAAAAATTATAAAAACTAGGTAATGTCTTTTATTTTAGACTAATCATGACTCCTAAAAAAATATCTTATATTATAGATATATAAGAAAAAGCAAACTATGAATGAAAGAAGAGTTGTGGGTAATTTTTTTTTTTCTTAATTAAAAGTCTCTATGTCGATTGTTATGTGGTCACACATAAAATTTAAAAGAAAAAGGGAGAAAAAGTAGTAAAAAGGGCATACCCAAAAATAAAATCTAAGATGAAAAACATACAAACAGAGGAAAAAAAAAATAGGATAACTGCATTTTCTCGGTGTCCAAGAGCCATAGTTTTTCATGTAAAATTGAAGATTGTGATCATGATAAACTCTTCTCTCTCTATGAAGATATTCATATTTTCATCATGACATGCTTTGCTCTCTCTAAAAATTTTCCTGTTTTCAATACTCAAATGCTTGTTGCACTTATAAAAAGGAAAGGAAGCAATAGTTAGAAATTTTGCATGGATTTTCCATTAGAGTTAGAAAATGAATTTTCCTCAGCATCAACAGGCAGATTATATATATCAGTTAAGTTCCTCAAAAGGGATATAAAAATTTGCAACTCTTTGGTTAATGGTTACTAAACAACAAAGAAGACACGGTACCTATGAACGAAAATGGAAATTCATAGTATACAGCCTCTAAATGTTGCTATGTTTAAATGATTTCATGTTCATGAACAACAAAGAAACTTGGTTCGTGAAATTAGAGATTTGATCTACAAGGACTGGTCGATTGTCATGACCCGTATGCCTCGAGAACTGAATAGATGTGCAGATACCATTGCAAGACAAGCTCATGGACATAGCAGCGACTTTCAGATTCTCCACTCGTGCCCAGACTTTTGTGCTGAGCTTTAGATTTCTAACAGACTTGGTCTTACTTAGGCCTTTTTGTAACTTTTTTTTTTTTTCCTTTTGAGAAAACATACATTTTAATTCCTGCACTTTACTCGTATTTCATTATAAGTCTTTGTATTTTTTTTTGATATTTGGACTCCTATGCTTTTATTTTCCAATGTACTAAGTCCTTAAATGAATAAAGTGTAAGGACTTTTGATAAACGTAAAATATCAAAAAAAGAAAGTATAAGGACTTAAGACATCGAGAAAAAAAGTACAAGAACTTATAACAAAATACAAGCAAAGTGCAAGGACCAAAAAATATGTTTTTTTTTTTCAAGCTTTAGCTTGCCGTTTGTACTCCAAAAAAAAAAAAAAGAAGAAGCTTTAGCAACATGTCTAATTTACATTATAATAATTTAACAGCAAACTAAATTAAAATTATATTAAATAAAAGGGTAAAATATGTTAATATTGCATTTAAATTTTAAATTATTCAAATATATTAAAAATAATTAAAATTATATTAAAATAATTTGATATAATTGGATCGGACTAAGTAGTTTGAGAGTTTGGTCTCATATCTAGTCCAATTAAAGTTAATTTAGTCTTTTTAATCTCTTTGGTCCTTCGAATCAATTTTTTTATTGAACCAAGTTAGACAGGATAATTAACTTTTACACAGTCCTTGGCCTAGCAGCCTAGGATGTAAACAAAAGCTTGTTAAAAATATTCTATTGAATAGTAACCAAAAGCTTGTCAAAAAATAATGGAAGTGTTATGCATGAAAGAAGAAACCATGGGGTGAAGAAGGAAGCCATAGTGAAAGAGGAAGACAACGGGGATGAAGAAGAAAGAAATGGATTCCCATGTGAGAAAAACTGACATTTGGGTAAAAATATGTTGACATGATCAACAATAATGAATGGTTTCTTTATAAGTTTTTATAATACGACAAATGCATGAAAATTTAAAAAACTAGCACATCAAAGGGAGGAAATTCCTTTTGATGGTCACGACAAAGCTAAACTCTTCATACTGATTGTAACATCTCACATATCTGAGATTAGATTTAAAGACTAAAAAATCATTATTGACCTTTAAATTGGAGTGTTTTGGTGTTTTGGAAACACGTTTGTTGAAGTCAAAACCATGGTTTTGACTTTTGATAGAAGTTATCAAATGCTTCGCTTTTGCCAAAACTATGGTTTTGGTTTTGGTAAATGTGTTTCCAAGAACGTGCTCAAGGGAAGGGAAGGAAAGTCACTCCATTCACCTCTCCTTTCTTTTCTCTTCCATTTTCATGGTTTAATAATGAGATTTGGAGTATGGGAATTCTAACAACGAGATTCAAAATTTCTAGCATCATGCTCTGGGCATAATCTTGTGTTTTGATGAATCTACAAGTTATGGGCGTTTCTATGTTGAAAGATTTTGAAATCGAGTGAACTCTGAAACTTCCTCAAAGTTAGAAGCTTATTAATAAGAGCTGGCAGTCATCACTCATCAGTATATTTTCAGATGGATTATAATCAAATCTTCCATCAAAATTGTCCTTGTTCCCACTGTGTGAAAATGGATATACTCTTGGGATCTAAGCCCTCTTGTATCATTCTCTCTCTCACACAAACACCTGCAAAGATAATATGCTACAATATTTACTTGATTTGATAGATGGAGGATCAAGAACCTCTTTGGAAATACTCATGGGTTGACTTGTGGTCTCTTGATGCTCCATAATGGCCCTTGCTGATGTAGCTGCAATAGTCACTTGGATGCAATTGTTATTGCAGTTTCTCAATGAAGTGTTTTATTGCTGGAAATGCCTTTGTTATTATTTTTTTCTGGCGCTTGGAAATTCTATTAAATGTCGAGGATCTTCGATGGTGCAGTGGAGGAGGGCATGCATCAGTATTGGAAGCACAGAGAAGTAGTAAAGATCACTACAATGCAGAGAATGTTCAGAGACTGGTGGGGTTCTAGTTTCTATTCATAAGCTAAAAGAAGGCTATGCAATGGTATTATTTAAAGCGGAAAAATCTATAGAAGGCCTTTAAAAAAAAAAAGTTACAAACAATCTTTAAAAAGTTACCTTTTTAAATCTATTGAAATGCAGAGTTGGAGTAAGTAATTGCTTTCTTTTCTTGTGCTTCCGGCATTCTCCTAGTTGTCTAGAGACATTAATGTACATTTCTTTCTATGTATTTGCTTTTAGGTGGGTCTGATATGCTTACTGTCTCAGTCACTTAAGTTTTTTGCACATCAAGGACAATAAAAAATTACAAATTTGAAGCTCAAAGTGGTAAAGACCAGATTTCTTTTTTTGGGTTTGAAATCAGTCTGTGTTAACAAAATTAATCAATCATAAATCTGTTTAGTTGTTCTTTCCATTTGACTAGAAAATTTAGGCTTCAACTTGGATCTTGGAGGAAGATCTTCAGCAGAGAGAACTAGAGAAGAATAGAGAAAGTTAAGATATGAATACACAGTACACACGTCCCCATGGATTGCTCTGAAGTTGGTTGCAAATTGGAGGGAGACAAGAGATGGGAAAATTTCTACAAGCATTAGTAAGTTACAAATCTTTGCAAGTATGTATCTCAAAATTCTTAATCACAGCTTGATTTGAGTCCTAAAAAATATAAAAAAAAAATCAAAATCTGAAATTCAACTGCCATTAATGATTTGCTCTAATTTATGGGTAGTTCATTTTTTTTAGCAGATTTCTTTTATAGAATATTTTCTTCTCAATGCATTCATCGGAAATGAGGAAACAAAAGGGTAATCAAGTATTTACATTCAATAAGTACTTGTAATTCTTTAGTTACTTACTCTAACTCGATACTTCAATATAATAGTGATGTAGTGTCCTTAGAAAAAAAAGGGGTTTGTCTTTGAATGCATCCTAAATACAGGCAGATAGAGGACGCATAAGTGCAAGGACACAATTTAGAAAATACAACTGGAATGAGTAATTGACTTCAAAAAGGAATATATATAAACTAGTTAGCCTCAAAATGTTTGGGAATGAAAGATAGATCCGTTTATTTAGATAATGCTTCTTATATTCATGAACAAACTGGGAGAGAAGCACTAGTTGGAAGTTATCCATGAATTTACCAAAACAACTCAAAGATGAATTGTCCTCAACAGTAGGTAGAGTATATCAGCTAACTGCTTATTGAATTTGTCTGAATAATTTCTTCGAAAGATCCATTAGACAATCCTACTAGTGATTTTGCAGGGGATTCAAGGAAAGGTTTTGGAGGAACTGATAATGATTGAAGGGGTCCTTCTAACATTTCTACCACTTTACTCATAGCTGGTCTATCCAATGGATTTGTTTGAATGCACCACAAACTCACTAAAGTCATCTTCCTTGCTATCGCATCATCTTCTACTGTGGTTACTAGAGAACTGGCTGGATGAATACCTTGCTCAGGATCCTCATAAATCAAATCTGGAAAATACATTTCTTCGGTGTGCAATCCTCCACTGTTATAATTCTTCCTTCCTCCAATCATTTCAAGGACCAACATTCCATAACTATAAACATCAGCTTTATGAGAAACTCCACCAAATGCTCTATTGAATATATATTTCTGGTGCAATGAATCCTATTGTTCCTCTTGTGCCTAGGATTGATACAATACTCTTCTTCTTTTGACATACCCTAGCTAATCCAAAATCAGATATTTTCAGGCAAAATTCTTCATCCAAGAGAATGTTTTAGGGTTTGAAGGTGCAAAATTCTCATGTTACAACCCTGGTGCAAGTATTCAAGAACACGAGCTATGCCAATACCAACTTGGTATAACACATTCCACTCCAAAGTGAAAAAGGCATTTGGAAATCCTCTTTTATAGATGAAATTATCCAAGGAACCGTTTGGCATGCATTCATATATTAGCACTCTTTTGTTCCTTTCATAACAAAATCCCAAGAGAGTGACTATGTTGACATGAGATGTTATGCTAATACTTGCAACTTCATTTATAAATTTTTCTCCACTTCTTTTTGATTTCCTTATTACTTTTACTGCCACCAGATGACCTTTAAGTAAGCTTGCTTTGTAGACAACACCATACCCTCCCTCACCTAATTTGTTTGAAAATGATTGTCATTCTTTTCACCTCTGAATAACTATATTTCCTTGGTGTCAAAGAGCCATAGTTATTTATGAAGAATTGAAGATTGTTATCATGACAAGCTCTTGTCTTTCTTAAGATTTTCCCATTTTCGATTCTGAAATATTTATTGCAAATATAAATAATCAAGGTCAAGATTAGAGCAAGTCCACCAACTGCTGCTGAAATGGCTGCATGTATAGAACATGACAACTTGAAATCTTCATGAAAATGCTGAAGCAAATAAAATTAAAGCTTTACTGTATTAATCACCTATGGCAAGTTGCAGAACCCGCTTCTTAGTTGACCCAACAATTAGAACATTAGAGTACTTAGGCACATGTATGCTACAAATGTATGAAGCATCTTTACTTAAAAACATCGACAAATTCTATTCTTTTCGTGTCTAGTAATCGTATGAAACATGATATGATACTTCAAATCATAATTTAACACTACTTATTATAGTGCCTGTCCCATATCAGGCTACAAACAAACATTGGACTCTGAGAAAGTAACAACATACCTGAAGCTGAAGCTGTAGATTCATGTGGTTGCGGTTGTGGACATGAAGTATTTTGAGGTCCCTGTTTGCAGAAGCAGAGGAATTGTTTGTCATAACCACACTCTCCCCCAGATTTAGTGCACGCGTCGTACTGTTCCTTATTTATTAACCATCTCAACCCAAAACCATCATCTAACTCATCCTGTATTTGCTTAAGCGTTGTAATTTGGTCTGGTAGCATTGGCATGATAACACTCGTGCAATTGACTCTATATAATATTCCTTCGCCGTAGTGGACAACGTATTTATCACCACCTCCATTGCAATCTTTAGCATAAATATTCGATTCAGATGGTGAAGAAATGCAGTCGTAGAGCAAGGTCACATAATCAGTCTCATCAACATACTTGAAGGTTGTTGGATCAAAGGTACTGTTTTTGTAATTACTTTTATGACAGATAGTGTCATAATAATCATCCCTAACTAGTCGAAGAACCTGTGAATTCCATTCCAAATCAAGAACTCGATATCTGATGTTCTTTATGATCATGTTTGGGACATTATTGCGTTCACATGTGAGCTGGAAATCAGGAAGACGACAATAATCAGCTCTGTTATCACCCCAGAGGGGATATGCGAGGTTTGAAATGTTTCCGCAGATAAAAGAGTTACTTTTACAGCTTGTATACCGACCATCATCGGCACCAAGAGATGTTGGAATGTCGATAGAGATGAAGGGAGAGATCAAAAGAAAGAACATGGAGGATGATGATGATGTGTTTAAGAGAGGTTTCATGCGGGAAAGAAGCTATCAGAAAATCTGAAGAGTGAAAAGATGAGATGAGACTGATGATACGGCGTAGTCAAATATTATGAGGTAATGAATTATCGTTTCGTCTTTGGTCTACTTAGAAGACATGGAAAGTTCTGAAAATGAAGGCTCTTGAAGAAGTCCAGATTCTGAAGTTTCCTGGAAAATTTAGTCATGAAAACAGAAGCATATTCTAATTAGCAAAGAAAATATATGGTTGAATAGAAGCCTCACTTGTTCAAGTCCTAGTTGACTTTCAAAGGAATTATTCAAAGAGCGAGAGGAGCCAGCAACTACAGGTGCAAAATCCTAGCCTAGAGGATTTAATTTTAAAACATTTTTATGGTCATCCATCATGGTAAAATTGGCATTGAAACTTGATTGATATCGACTTTTAAACGGGGAAAAAAAAAATTAAATTGGACCGACTGTGGCTGTTGAAACAACTGCAGATCAACAGTGACAGATATTATACTCTGCAATATATATGATATGATATGATCGGAGTACATTCTATACTTATTTAAGGTGATGTTTTAAAATAATCTTGACTGTTCAAATTTAATTTAAATGATTTAAATTTAATATATATAATATGATATAATATTTTTTTTTTACTTAAACCAAATATTAGAATAATATATTATTTATCATTGATTCTACTCTTTTTAGAAACATCGAAATGAGGGAGAGCATAGCCAGCTCTTATAATCTAATTCCTTCTGTCTTCAATTTTCTAACGATGAAATATTGATCTTACTGTCACTGGAGATTACAGCTTCGGCACAGTTTTGAGGAACCTTTCCCCTGCTTTGTTGGCCCACCTAGAAGATATATAAAGGTGGAAGAATCACATCAAATGACTATTTAAAAACACATTAATACAGAATAGATTATTGCTAAAATGAAAACGTGATTTAGTTGTTTTTAAGTGGGACTTATTGTTAGTCTTTGTCTGTGAATAATTTTTTAAAGTAATTCTTGGATATGATTTTTTTTATAAAAATCTTTAATTACAAAAATAAATCCAAACATTCTGAAATTACTTTAAAATCCCTGACGTGATATTTGACAAAAAGAGTGAATGAGAAAGGGCAAAAATAAATCTACTCGTCATCATTTCACACGCTAGTGCTTGGTAAACTGTTATTATTACTTGTAGTAACCATAACATTTTAATAAGTATGAATTAAAAAATAATAAATATAGTATTCTAACAAACATTAAGGTGAAAAATGACAAATGAGAGTATTGTTTTGATAAGTATGCATATGAAAAATGATAAGTAACAATAGTAGTTTAACTTGACAAATTTTGTCAATGTGTATGTATTTATTACCCTGTTGTCTGTCACACTAGGATTGGGAAAACAAGGCTAACAATATTGTGTGAAGACTAATTCATTGACTGTAACCATTTGAATCTACATGCATGATTAGAGTCAAATCACATGGGAGGGGGAAAAAAAAAAGAGCCGTTACAGTAGCCAGCAAGAGTTAAAAAATTAACAGATTCAAGATGGAAAACATTAACAGTATAATAAATTAAAAAAATCTGATGCAAACATCTCAAATTTTATGAAAATATTTTTAAAGGACCAAATTCGATGTTCAAACCTTTAGAATTTTTCAATGCATGATAGGGATTACTTATTCAATGTATTAACCTTTAGAACTTTGCAAGTAATTAATGATGACTTATTTAAAACTCTAACCTTTCGAAATCTACGTTATCTATTAATGAGTTTCTTAACTAGAATCAAGGTTTAAGTGCTTAAAAACTCTAAAGGTTTTAATGTTAATGTTTAATAGTGCCCAACATTCATGTACATCTATTGCCTATATAAGGCATGCTTGTGGAGTGCTCAGAACAGATTGTTCCTGAGCTTTCGAGCATCCCTCTTCCATCTCTTGAGTTTTTCTTTCCTATATGTGTACTTCTGTTGTTCTGGCACCCCTATTGTATACAAGAAAGGTTTGTTTAATTCTAAAGAGTTGCCGCATTCAATTTGCGTGACGAAATAACTCTTAAGGAAAGTGTCTTCGAACACGACTTAAATCAGATTATCCAACATAATTCCCAAAACAAAGAGTGGTTCTTGTATCTAAATATGTTACAAATGTAATCTTGTGAAGATTATTGGATCCATTGGGCATCCCATTCAACATACAGAATTCAAGGTTGTAGATTCTGAGATTGGTGAAGTTCTTCCACTTGGTTCAAAGGGCAAATTAAAAGTTAATGATTTTGTTCTATATAAGTATCTATATTATTTGTGTGTGAAATAGAGATAGAGGGATAGAGGGAGTGTGCGTCTGTTATGAGTTTATAATTGGATGTGACCCTGGAGCAGTTTCCCTCCACAATAGGAATAAGAGGATAAAATTGTTGGATAAACTGGCACTCAAGAGAGGGGTTAATTGGGTAACACTTAAAAATTTTCAAAAACACAAAGAATGAAAAACTTGAGTGAGAAGGAAAGAGATGAAACATAAGATTTATCCTAATTCAGCCTAAACTTAGCTTATGTTCAGTCCTCAAGATCACATTTGAGATTTTCAACTAAAATCACATGCTTCAATGGGTGCTTACTACTACAATACAACTCATAAGACTTTAACTTGTCTTGATTCAACCAATAATCCTTGCTACAATTCAGCAAGTTGTTACAAACACTTGAAAAATACATTTTCAAGATAGATTACAAATAAAAGCTTATAAACTTATGAGAGCTTTTTCATAATTCTTTGCAAGAATGATGAATGAATGTTAAATGTTTAAGCACAATTTAAAAGCTTTTTGAATGCTCAGGTAAAGAAAAGTTCACTCAAGGATCAGAAGTTATATGCAAGACTTGAATTGTATCACATATATAGTTTTGGCAGTTGAAAGACCATTAGAATAGTGTTACTAGCTGCTAGTGACAAATCTTATATCCAGACATCACACATGAAATGGCTCATATCAAAGTTTCAAATATGCATATTTGACAAATCAAGCGTGAACCTCAGGGTGTCTCATACGTGTTTTGGAATAAATGAATATGCAAACTATTCTATGTGTAAAAACTCATGTGCAACCCTCTGTTGAATAATATCGGCGGCGAACGTGTGTAACAGCAAACTCCTGACTGGTTGCTTGAGTCGTGCCCAGAAGGACACTGTCCTTAAGAACTATTCCGGCACACCCTCGAACGGCCGGAAGTTCCCCAGGATTAAACAAGCACTTCCTCGGTGGAACGAGGGAACAGAACAACGGAGACCAAACGTAATTACAGACGCACACAGATAGATTGGCAGAGGGAAGAAGAGAGAACCGCGAGAACTCAAGAGGCTTCTGTTCTGTCTTGCTCTGTCTGAACCCATGGCTATATATAGCCCGAAGGTGGACATGAACGTTGGGAGGTTACCACCGGTTTAAAAGCTCGGTTACAGTCTCATAAAAATTATTTAAAAACTTGTCTGGAAACGTTGGAGTTACACAAAACGCATTCAACTCTAGAAACGTTGGGAACGTTTGGGAAGACAACCGTTTAGAAAAAATTAATTTGTTTTAATGAAAAAAACGTTCTTGGTTTGACTTCAAACTCCAGACAGCCAAAATTTGAGTTTCTCCGGCAAGCCAAAATAATTATTTATTTGTAAAATAATCCGGTAAAAGGAACCCACTACCTCTTGAACTCGCGCGCAGGGGGGCGAATCGGCTGATTTCAACTGCGATTGCCCTGAGTTGGCCTGTCTCATGTGCGCGATGCCACTTCTCTTCCAAGCCCATTTTACTAGCCCACTTCATTCCTTAGTATATATACACTAGGAGAGTCTTTCTTTTAATCAATGTGGGACTTTGACACACACACACTTTTGACACACATACAACAATCCCCCACATGTGTCAAAAGATCTATATTCGTCTGTGTTATTCACACGGAGGATAATCACTTTGAATTTGGTGTCTGTCGACTTGAACCAAACCTAGACTAATAAAACTTAGCACATAGAAAAGTCAGTGTAACTTCGTTATTGAACCAACAGATCTTGAGCATGTGCTAGAGGTCTTATTAATCGGATTATACCCCCACAGTCTCTGCTGTTAACGACGATTTTGCACGTTATCGGCCATGCGCTCGCCTGGTTTTAACAAATGCTCTAGAGATTTTGCCACGATCTCATAGGAGCGGCCTCACTCCACATTTGTATAGGTGTTTTCATCAAGTGTATCTGCAATGAATACACCATCCGTAAGGACTATGAAAACATTAAGAGCTATCGCTCAGCCTCCTTTCAATGCATTCTAGCACTTTCTCAAGCCATAGGAAGGGACAAAATTCAGTGCTAGTAGAACTAACAAGTGACTTGTTTTTACCCATTGAACCTTCTTCATGGGATCTCCAATCACAAAGGTTGGGTTGCCATCACCGTTAATTTCAAACAGGCTTAAGTCCCATTCCCCTCGACGTTTCAATAATAAATTTCTTCCCTAGGGGTTTAGTTAACGGATCCGCCAGATTTAACTCTGATCTCACATAATCGATTGAGATTACCCCATCTTTAAGCAGCTGCCTTATAATATTATGTCTCAATCGAATATGTCTACTTTTGCCATTGAAGGTCTTATTTTTAGCCGTTGCTATTGCAGACTGGCTATCACAATGTAAAGACACTGATGGTGTGGGCTTTTCACCTATTGGAATACTTGCTAAGAAGTTTTTCAACCACTCAGCTTCAGTCCCAGCCAGTTCCATTGCAATGAACTCAGAATCCCTTGAGGATTTTGTGTTGATTGTTTGTTTTGCAGACTTCCAGGTTATTGCACCACCACCAAGAGTGAATATATAACCACTAGTGGATTTTGTCTCTTCTGAATCTGAAATCTAGTTAGCATCACTGTATCCTTCCAATACAGCGGGAAATCCACTATACAATATACTATAATTCATGGTACCTCTCAAATATCTCAAGACTCTCACCAGAGCCTCCCAATGTTTACTGCCTGGACAGTGAGTATATCTACTCAATCTGCCTATAGCATAAGCTATATCAGGCCTAGTAAAGTTCATCAAATGCAACAGACTCCCAATAACCTGTGCATACTCAGATTGAGCAACTGGGTCACCCTTGTGCTTTTTTAATTGCACACTCGAATCATAAGGAGTACTCAAAGGAGCATCTTCAAGATGTCCAAACTTTCTGAGTATT